ATTCAAAGTAGAGGGGGATCGAGAGGGGGGTCCCGAGAGGGGGTATTTCCACAGATGGAGGATGTATACCACATCAGCCCCACCATGGTTGGGGCTGAGGTGAGAAAATTGGTGATTATGGCACATCTAGATTGCCGATTTTGCACTTCCAGGGAAAGCGATGAAATTGTAGTAGTAAAACGATTTTTATCGTTTTCCATGATTATGACGTCATTTGATTTGGTTTGTGAAACTATTTTTGATCGAATCGTGCTAGTGTGAAAACTTCTCTTTAATATTTCTTTTATTTTCATAAACAATTGCTTTTTAGCATGATAACGTTATCGTGCAAGTATAAACTGGCCTTTAGGCAGTGACCACACCCGTTGTGAGGGCGTAAATATAATCAGTTGTGCGTTGAAGCATGGAGGAAATATATTATTTCCTCCATGGTTGAAGCGTATGTGGCTGGATAGAGTCTGTGACAATATCCATACTTATTCGTGGTCTAGAGGTACGATGCTCGCCTTCTCAGCGAAAGTCGCAGGTTCGAATCCCGTCAGACATATTTCAAGGAACTTTCTCCTTGAAGGTCAATGTCTGGTGATATATATTCTTTCGATCCTAAATTTGAGGACTGTTTCTATTATTTACCTACTGTATTTGTATATTACTTCATGTTCTATTAGATTTTTTAACCTAAAAGCGTAAGTATTGCCACCAAGATCATAGTAAGGGCACTCGTAGCCATTTCAATAACATAAGCCTGGTTTTGGCCGCCATTTTAGATTGTGAATTTATATTTTATTATCACAATGAAGATATTATGGTAGTTTATGTGTTTTATTATGTTTTTTTGGATTCCTTTAGCTGAAGAACATAGGCATTGACACCAGGATCACGGCATGTAAGGTAAGCACTTATGATCCTTTAAACATATATTTTTTCTTTTTTTCTTTTTGGCGGCCATTGAACATTTCAATTATTTTGGGGGCCATTTTGATTTTCCCCATTTTCGGCGGGAACTGTTGGAGTGACAACGTGTTTCCTGCAATTTTTGGAATCGGCATACACAAAAACCCCCTAAGACAAAGTTTCATGCTTTTTTCCAGAAGTGCACGCCCCCGTCACATATCCATCCCACTAGAAAGCCCTTGGCCGTATACAGTCCAGTGTTTGAATCAGTGAACGAAATCGGGAGGGAGGAGGGGGAGGTAAAAAAAATTGAATTAAGAAAAATAATGGTTGTACTGTATATTTGATATGAATTACCGGTAAGATTTTTAAGGTATGAGAGTGCAATTTCCGGGCACCTAGAGAGACTATGGACTATCAAGCACCCTCTCCCGCCAACTCCTACATCCGCCCCAGAATCGTTCATTATTATTAGAACATTGATTGTTATTGTTTTGACAATTTTCTAGTAACCTGCAGTCAATTTAAGTATCAAGGAAAACAAATGTTGTTACCTCTGCTATGCTTTTTCGTGAGGAATTTTTTTTTTTTCAATATTCCATTAAAAGCGAATAATATGCACAAAAAATAAGGAATACCATACAAATAATGAATTTAGTTATTCAAGTTTTTTATTTCATCACTGACCATACATTTTTATAATATGTTATTATTATGGACCTTTCTGGAGTGTCAATCAAACTCAACAACGGACCAATCAGAAGAATGCCAGGAAAAGAAGGCGCGTGCTTAACAAACACACATGTTGTCCCGCATATGCACGTGATTACGTACGTAGGAATGATATCAAGTGGGCGGGCGGGGCTCAGCGGAAATGTCCCGGCCATTATAAAATTAATCTGTGTGGGATTAAGTACGATAGCATTTTCGGTAGTTGATGAGCAACAGTTTGAATGTAATGTGCAAAGATCATGTGCAAAGAAAAAAATGTCATTGATTAACGTATTAATAGACGTAAATCTACTATAATTGAGAGGTCTCGCAAGTTTACGAAAACGGTAACCAATACGGCTACGTCATCAAATGTCTAGTAGATCCATCTCCTACAGCAGCATATCTGTGACAGCGAAGGCCATCCGTGCTTTTCACAAAAATCAACAATCACATTCAGCTCTTATATCATTGTATTTCTAAGAATGATTTAGGCACAAATGATGATCATGAAGATGACGTATTCGTTCATTATCGTCTTCCTAAGGTTGCAAAAACTCCCTAATAATATGATCTCACTAAAATTTGGTATTGATAGAGAGATTTTAGGGTGGTATTATACCTATTTAGTTGTCTATGTAAGGAACTTTAAATTAAACATGCAATAAATTTGCTCATAATATATCACTAAACGTTTACAAGATGTAATAGTAATGGTAAGATCTGGGGTTCCAACTCTAGAAGGATTTGACATTAAAGATACCACTGTCTAGTTGGATGTCACTGTGTATCAAAGTATACTTTAAATAGACACATTCATCATTATTTTAAGTAGAAAGTGAACAAGATCTTCTCTCTTCTACCACCAAACCTGACACTAAACGCATCCCTCTAGTTAAAATATGCTATGCGATATTTCGCGACTGTAGGAGGTTCTTATGAAGAAACACAAGTGGAAAAGAAAGTATTGGCATCCAATCCTATTATGGAGGTGAGTATATCTCAGAGGCTATACCAGTAAACTGTCAGATTGTTGTGTTTACCATATTCAGACTTGACAATGTTTCATTAAACATGGATAAAAGTGTGGTACTGTACTTGTCAAAATTCTTGCTGACAAAGAATTACCCATAATTTTTTCAGTCGCATATATATGGGGCCTATCACCATGTGCATTACAGGGGCGTACGGTGAAAAATCTAAGGGGGGTCGAAACGAAAACGCAGGGGGCAAGCTGAATTGGAGCAATTTAGCGAAGCTTTCAAAAAATCGCGGGGTGCGTTATTTGTGAGTGAAGCGAGCAACTAGGCTGAGGCTAGGGGGCCGCAAAAGGGGAAAAATTTACGTTTTTACGTTCTAGTGCATTAAGTTCAATACCAAGTCTGACAAAATAGGCCTAATTGTAAACGTAGTTTTTGGGCAACACCAGACTATATTCACTCAATATACCACCAGCCTATTGGATTGCGGAACTCCTGAATACGGGCCTGTGAGCATTTCAGATTAAAAAATTTTAAAAAAAAGGGGTTTTTTTTTCTTTTTCGTGGGATCGTCCCACTTTTAATTTTTCTTAAAAATAAAGTTATAAATGTATATACTGTATTGAAAAATAAACAATGATATAGGGAACATATAATTACTTAAAGTAACATTTTGTATGAGTTTATTTCTTAACGTTTTCCTTTCAATTTTATATTTTAATATATTTCTTTAACTTAGTTTTTCTTCATCGTTTTCCTTTCAATTTTATATTTTAATATATTTTTTTAACTTAGTTTTTCTTCATCGTTTTTCTCAATAACTAATACTTAAACTACGCTTTCAATACTAAAGGTAATTTAACTTACCTAATATTTACATAAAAAAATTAATAGCTCTTTATTTAAAGATCAAATTGTTATCATTAATTTTCCGATGCGTCCTGCATCGTTTTGCGTCTTCTCTGAGTTCCTTTTCTTTTATTTTTCTTCTTCTTTCTTTATTTGGCATTTTTATATTCCAAAAAAAATAATCTACAGTATTCAACTACCTCACAAGAAAAAATTGCTCTCATCAAATAATTACATTGCCTTTGGTTTTGTGTTGCGCGCGAATAGATTATTTTGCTGCACGGAAAACACGCAGCTACAGATAACAATAATGGCAGAGTGCAATGATGCGTAACCACATAACACAACTCCACTGGCGCACGGGCTTAGAGATATCAAGTTGATTAAAAATGTATAACTTTATATGGATTGTTTAAAAAAAAGACAAAAAATCAAAATATTAAAAGGAAGGGCCACCAAACATTTTTTTGGCGAAGGATAATTTATTTGGATATTAACTACCTTCATGTTAGGCGCAGTTTAATTATGCTAGATTTTTTTTAAAAATCATATTTAAAAGGGCACTTTCTTTAAAAGGGGGAGTCGATCGCACCCATCGACCCCCCCACGGTACGCCCCTGCATTATACTTTGTTAAAATTTTAAACCAATAGATGTATTCATTATATTATATTGAGATTTCTGTAACAGCCAACTTACATAATGTTTGTCACTCATGCTGAAGAAGGCCTGAGGACAGGCCGAAATATTCATGTGAACAATAAATTTAGTGTTTCTAGTCTACCAAGTCAATCTTATTGTCTTTACTTTTGAGTTCAATAATGAATTCAATAATGAAAAAAAAAATATAATCAAAGAAATAATTCTTTCTAGAAACACAGTGCAATAGAATATATCAGATATTCTTTGTTAAATCATTTGGAGCGCTTAAAACAGATATGCAACACATCTGTATTACAGCCTTATAAACAATGCAACAATAATGTCATAATTGTTTTACATACAAACACAAGATGATTTGCTATTGCGACTAGAACTTGTAGAAGAACTAGGTCTACTACTAGAAGCCTGATTGGAAGTGCTGCTTGCTGTCAGACTTGGTGGGTAATTATAAGAGCTTGGTTGGTTGGTACTACTATAAGATGTTTGATTGGCACTGTGAGTGCTTCTTGCTGTCGTACTTGTAGATGGGGTATAAGAGTTTCGTTGGCTGGTACCCGTATAAGATGTTTGACTCGCACTGTAAGCCCTTCTAGCTGTTGTACTTGTATATGAGTTAAAAGAGTTTCGTTGGCTGGTACTGGTATCAGATGTTTGACTGGCACTGTAAGCGTATCTTGCTGCAGCTGTATATGGGTTATAAGAGCTTGTTTGGTTGGTACTACTATAAAAAGTTTGATTGGCACTGGATGTTGAATATGTGATTACGTATTCTGGATATACTTGATGGTTATCAAATACCACAAATATACTTGGATTACTTGTGTTGTCGACGCAAGAATCATACATCCCCTTTGTTTTATCTGAAGAATTTTTATACGGTGGTCTGCGCATATCACGGGTCCCAGTGGTGTAACTTCCGACAAGGACTCGTGCTACAAACATCTTCTTTACATTGTAGCCATCAGCCTCTGCATAGGAATCAGAATACTTCGATGTGCTTGCAAAATAGGCACCTTGACCATAGACTGCACCAACCCGAGTTCCACTCAAACGAAAATCAAAATTATCTCGACAAATATCTTCAACTTTTTCAGGTGTAGTTCCATGAAACAGTAGACGCTCCTGCACTGGTTTGCTGGGATTCTTTTTCATCATAACTTCCTTTTGCCTTTTGAGTAAGGAAAAAATTATATTATTTTGGGCATGGAAAATTGAATCTATAGAGCTGCTAACTATTTGGATCATTTTCATCTGGTGATGGTAGTGGCAATGTAAAACATTGGTGCTGCCCATGGTGTTTGGTGTAGTCAGGTTCATATCGAATGTTAGTTTACTATTTAGCATTCAATAATGAAAGTGTTGATTGTCACATTATATAATTAAAAACATAAACTAGTGGTTCTTGTGGAAATTGTCTGATAAATCATGTATTAGTGAAATGGGGTTCATTATTGAAAGGCATCGTAAAATTGAAAGTTTTAAATTATCATTATTATTATTATTATTATCATTATTATTATTATCATTATTAATATCATTATATTATCATTATTATTATAAGTATTAAATCTTACTACTGTATTTGTTTTGAATCTTGATGTCTGTAGTGCCAATTTGACTAAAAATCTCAATTAAGGCAAACAATTTATCTGAAAAGGCATTATTAAAACTTTGGACTTTTATGAAAACAACAAAGAACATTGCCTAGAACCAGTGTTCAAGCTAGTCACTTCCACTAGAGAGTAAAACAATAGCTATAAAATGGTAAAAAAAAATCATTCAAATCGGACATTTCCTTATGAAGTTACAAGCGTTTAAACATACAGCTGTTTAAAGAACAATATATGAGAAATCAGCCTTCAAAGTTTATGATTTCAGGCTTTTCTCATGCAGAAACTATCATCAAATCCTTAAAAAGAGTTGTTTTAACATTGAAAGGGGGGGGGGGAAATAACAGCATAGAATGATGTATAGATATGTAAAGATTAGTTTCGTGCAATAGAGTAGATTTTTAAAAATTGACATTCCAGCATGTTTTGGCCATTTTCTCTGAAACACGATTTGCGAAGAGTGACTGGTTTGGCTTGTCTTTGCCACATTTGTAACACCAAAAGGCTAAGTTTAGAAAAAGAACAATATTGAGTAGACAAATTATCATGAGTGCATGGATGGCCCTGTGGCCCTGCTTCATAATAATAAGAATAATATGTAGTGGGGAAGGCTAAAAGATCACTCTAAACCTGGGTATCCACAGAAGGCTTCCCATAGCAGAACAGGTACAATACAAGGACATAAGATCTCCCTGGGCAAGCTCAGATTATTAGTTCTCTTGCTAGTTATACAGAGGTTTTTAGAGAAGCAGTCCACTTTTAAGGGATGGAGGCAATATTACCTCCAGCCATCTTTTGAGCCTTGAGGGTGGAAATTAAGGTCCAGTGAATGGCAGATCAAAAGCTTTCCAAGAAAGCAATATTTCTTGGTTATGAGTAAGAAATATTTATCTATATTAAAAATTATTGTACCGTGAATATAAATCCCAGCAGGTCTCGTTTTGAACTCGTTCCAGTTTTGTAATATCTACTCCTGAAAGTGTAGTCTGAAACAATGTCTGTATTTTCTTGTATTCTTCACTGTGTCTGTTCTTCGATACACTTACAAGTAGATGTGACTTTCCTCGAAGGTTCATATTCCAGGTTCTTGGATATTTATTTTTATTTAGCCTGAAGGTAAGTAAACAAATCTCAAATATTAGAAAAATGCAAGTACAATATAAAAAATATTATCTCGACATCATCGTCATTGTCGTCATTGCCAGCATTCAATAAATATATCTTAGCAGGGCCTTCGGAGTCCTACTGCCCTGGGGGCCTGGGTTGTGTTGGGCCCAACTGGCGGCATTTTTAACATTTTAAGCGCATTTTGATAAGGGCCAACATGGCTTGTTTTGGAACTGTGGTACATTTGAACAGGGCCTGTGGTCCCGGCTAAAAGAGCAAACTAATATTCTAAAGCCTTTCAGGGCCAGAGCTCAAAACAATGGCAGCGGAAGCTGGGGGGGGGGGCTAGGGAGCCACTGGCCCCTCAAATTTTTCTGCCCCCCCCCCTACTTTTGTGACTGCTGGGTCATTCCGTGTCAAATCAACCAGATTTCAAAAAAAAAAAAATATGACCCTCTCAGATTTTGATGAAACTCCATAAAAATGATCCACTATGTGAAAAACCAACACTTAAAAAAAATATAGTGTTATAGGTTTGTAGTTTCTGAGATATTGACTCCTCAAAAAAGGGGCGTGGCCCTTCAAGTTGCGCAAACACAATTTCCTCCAACTTTGGAAGCTTATAACTCTGGATTGGTAATACAGTGTAGCTATCAAGGTCAAACTTGGTATTCTAACTTATACTCTACCATATTACACAAACATGGCATCAGATTAACTGTTATCCCTTCTTTTTTGAAGTTATCTGCACTCAAAATAGCCACTTTGTTTAACGATGCAATTTTTTTTGTGATTTTCAATGTCACCCTGTGTCCATATGAGTGAGTGTATACATCTTAAATTACAGTATATTATCTATGGGTAGTTGTCTCTAGCCACAAGCAAGCATAGGCTGATCAAATGAATTAAAATGGAATGGCATCCATTCAAATTTGGGACCAGCCCTAAAAAAGTGAAAAAAGCCTATGTTTCCCATTAACGGTTCGTCATGTGGACAGTTAAAATCTTTTCTTAAATTTACACCAGTTAACCAGATATATTAGATCTACTTATACACCAAATTTCAGCTTTGGTACTCAGCTCCTTCATGGTTAGATACTATGTTGAAAACTACACATATTTTAACATAATAGGAAATAACTAATTTTTTTAAGAGTTGGGTAATTCCATGCCATGGGATCATAGATTTAAAAAAATTTTTACACTGATAGTTATTCATGTGAATTGAAAAACCTGAAATTTTTAGACTCCAATTCCTGTTTGTTTTCCCGTAGCGGCAGATGTAAAAGTGGGCGTGGCACAAATTAGTGCACTGTGAAATTAACTTTGATTTTCGTATGCTAATATCTTTGGAAGTACAGTGCCTATAGCCTTCAGATTTTGTGGTGTAGGACATCTTTTACTTCTGATTCCAAATCTGCAATCAGAAAAGTTGTAGCATGTACCATTGTGGAATAG